CCCCCCAGATGAGTTATAACGCAGTAATGCAGTAAAATTAAGCAGGCAGGCACATAATGGGTCAGTGGGTGTTTTAAATACAGCAATTAGCCAATTTCCCCCCACACATTCATGGTGTCAGTTCTCCCCTCAGCTGGTGATACATTACACCTGTCTGAATTGGGCTGCCATAGAGGAGCTAATATCCCACAATACAACGCAAATTATTGCCATATCTTCAGGTCTTATTGTACAAATATAACAGGAAAAACTGTTAAATCTTCACAGGACCATTGCACAATTGTCATTTGGGAGATTAGTAATCATTTCTACCACACCAGCTATCACCGTAGGACCAATGTAGAAATACTATACAGGTACCACATTATAAAAAACCTAAAGATAAACTCACTCCCACAGCAACTAATGGCATTATTTCTGTATCTAAGGTCGTGTAATGTTCCGCGTGTCTTACCTGAAATCACGTCCAAATTCCTCGAAGAGAAGGAAATGTACGTTTTTCCTTCAGCTCAAGATAATCCAACTGGACTTTAAACGCCAGTGCACACTGTCAAACACACAAACACCCACTGAATGACACACAGCACTGACAGTGGACTGACTCGGAGCCTCCTCTTCACTCATTTGCCGTCACAGGTGGCCCTCCCTCCCACGACGCTCACTTTTTCCCCCTCCTCGTTCTCCACCAACCTTTCAGTCAGGTAGTCCGGTTTTTTGTCCACCAGCTCTTTGGTATTTGACGGTAAGATTCCCGGTTCGTTGTGTCACTTTTGGGGGGTATTTTTCGGGGTGTATCACGAGCTCCAGCCGGCAGTTACGGTACAGAAGAGAAAGTGGAAAAAGGTGCGGGATTTAACCTGTCCCATTCAGTGCTGCAGGGTGGCGCCGCACTGACACCTAGTGGCCACAGAGGGAATTACATGCGCTGGGAAGTAGAAAGTAGAAAGTCAAATACACAATTGAATCATTTTCTAACAGTGAAAGTGGCTTTACCATGCCGTACATTTCACCTGTGAGTACTACCTGTTTTTATTTAGCCTCTCTTATGGCAGAAAACAGTGTTAGCTTCGATCTGTCCTGAGTCCTGAGAATGAGACAATGTTATCTGACCCTAAAAAGAGGCTCTACTGTCAGAGATAGAAAGCAGAGACAGATCCTAACCAAGTACAGGCTCAGTGACCACAAACTGAAAATTCAGAAAGGAAGACACAAAAAATTCATGGAAACCGAAAGAAAAATATGTTGTTATTGTCCGACAGGTGAGGTTGAGACAGAGATGCACTTTCTCCTACTCTATAATCCCACATTTCAATTTAATAAAAATGATCCTAGGAGAAGGAGACATATCTTGCTGCCCAATGTGTATTAACATGCCACAACTTGAGGGACAGTGAGTGACCTAGACACACTCTTTTTAACTACAAGTCTACTTTTTATTTTTTCTACTTTATTTAAGTTGTTATTGTTATTTTGTTCTTATTAATATGCCTATGCACATATTTTACACCTGCTTTGGCAATGTAAACAGCTGTTCACCAAGATAGTAAAGCCCCTTTGAACTGAATTGAATTGAATTAACAGGAAAAAAAATAAAATAAAATAAAAGTAAAGCCCCTAAAAAATTGGTTTAAAATCATATACAACAGATATTATCACCTTCTAAGTTTATATGGCAAACGTAGCTAACTTTAGTCTATTTTTACTTCTAGATGTTTGGCAAAATTTGTATTTATTTGGATCTGCCCTATTCAGCAGCTCTCTCATTTAGAGAGTGAATAGGGGTTTCACCTTTGTTTGATTTAATCTTTTCTCCCTCTTTTGTCAGGACTCAGGAGAGATCAAAGTAGCACTGGTTTCCCCCTGTTCTTCTAGCAGCAGGAGCAGAAAGACCTGCTCAACACTGAATAGCAGAGAGACACAGTATATAGCTGCTGAACATGTAGAGCATATAGCATCTGAAGAGCCAGATATATCCCTCAGTAGTTGGCAGACATCAAAAACAGAGATAAGAGAGAATTAAATATTGGTTTTAAATTCATCAGGTGGAGACAAACACAGCTCAGAATAAAAATGTTGCTTTCTGTAAATAAGCATCAGTTATGGCTCGTTTAAAGGTCATCATTGATGAATGTATCCTTACAGCAGGTTCACAGAAGACAGTACTTGTTGCTTCTGGACGACTCACATTACTCACACTCAGGCATGCAGACATAATTCCACCTACTGCTCTTAATCTGTTGCCTCGCCTCCCTCTTCCTTTCCTCCAGACCCTCGGGTTAAAATATTATATTTTGCATTTCTAGATTGGGTGAGATTCATGGTGTAGCAGATCTCATATCCCAGTAAATGTGGATGTTATGTACACAAGAGCTCAACACTTAATGAAGGTGCCTGGGAGGAAAGCTGGCTCCATCACTCTCCCCTGTTCCTATCCCCAGAGATACACAAACCCAATGAAATAACATGCCCAGAGGGGATATATACATGGGACTTAAGTCATTACATTGCACCAGGCAACAGTACAACATATATCAGACCTTTATCTATATGCATATACCCTGCAGATCTTGCACACTGCTCATAAAAACACAAAGGGCTCATGCTAGTGTGCTGCAGAGATCAATGAGCGCTCTGATTAAGAAGGGAAAAAAACAGCAGCAATCTGTCATTCCACGTATCACTTTCTTCTCTCATTTATACAGAACTTTTAATCCATTATGAATGTATGTATCAATAATGAATGCAGTTAGTCATGTTCAGTGGGCAGCGTCAATGTTGAATTCTGCCTTTTATCTCAGCTCCTTATTGCAAATGAGCAGGGCATGTGTGTTGCGTAGAGGTTGCGTCTCAGACATCAGCTGTATTAGCCCCATAAAACTCACAAAGGGACACAACAGAAGAACTTCACAGGAGCTTATACAGGGAGGGGTGTCAGTGGCGCGGGTTACCATGGCAACAGTGGTACCTGAGGAAGTGGTGGAGTGGTTAGCTCATATATACAGTAGGTTGTATGGATGTCCGTTACTTCACAATATGTGTGCGCCCTTGCTAATGATAACAATACAAAAATAGATTGAAGTGGTTCAGTCTGCCTGCCAGAGATCTACAGAGACCTGCACACAGAACAGAGCGTACAGCAGGACTTCAAACTAGCCAGTTGAAATTCTAGTCATGGATTGTTTATCTATTTTTGTACAACAGGTACCTAGATCTAAAAATAGGTGGTGTTATTCGAGGAAGCTGATATAACACAACCTAAGATGGTGAACACAGAAAACAGTATACGACTACGGATGGCGATGCCGGCCTGTCTGCCTGTCTGTCCACCAGAGTGGTCCAGAATGAAAAATCTATTTCTAATTTATTTTAACGATTGGATTCATTTCCATGCAATCTGCTACAGACATTCAAGATGACTTTGGTAAATCTCTGACTTTCATTGAGCGCCACCAGCAGGTCAAAGTTTTATCACTCATCCAGTGAAATATCTCAAGATCGAATACAATGATGTAGGGAACATTGGTGATCCTCAAAATCCAAACAGCTGCAAAACCAATGACATTCCCATCAGCCTCAGCTGTACTCTTAACGAAGATGTTGAGCATTACACCTGCTAAACATGCAGGTATAATTTCACTGTGAGCATATTAGCATACCAAAGAAAGCATTAAACTCAACTCCACCGAGCTGCTAGCTGTATAGACTTTGAGTATTGTTCAAGCAACTCACATCTCACCAGTTCCTGTAGCATTGTTTGTATTACCACACTACTATATGGGGCCCTGTGTGAAACAATACCTCATAAACACCATTACTTCAACTAATGTGGACAGCAGTGTCAGCTCAGCTCCTAACCCAGGGAGTGTTTGGAGTGAATCTGGTCACAGCAGCAGTCACCTCAGCCCTGTAATTTGTTTACCCTGCAGAAGTATGAGCGCCCCCAACCTGTCATCATGACGGAAAAAGACAAACACACATACAGTACTTGGTACATCAGTTACTGTTACTGTTATTTCCTTCTGAGATCTGCCATCTTTCACCTGTAATTCATGTTGATGCTGTTTACATTGTTCATTTCTTGCCACACTCTGTTGGGACCATGCTGTTTGTTCTCATTTTGAGTGGAGGTGATTAAACGGAAATGAAGTTAATATTCAGCAATATTCTGTTTTATTTAGTCTTGAGGCAGTGGATTTAAATACAAATAGGAACAGTCTTTAATGTCTCGCCTGCTTTTTCATCAAGGACAGGAAACAATCTGCAGTGTTATTAATGTTAGTTTGTGTTTGCTATTTCGCAGAGGCATAATTAATGCAATATGGAACACCTGTTTAATACAAACCCCTGCCTCTTGTTTGTCCTAATACTGAACACAGCAAATGACACACGCCTACTAGTATGCAAAAATACCGGGAAAATAAATCATGGCTCAATATTTTGTTCATATTTATGTCTTGATGAGTCACAAGTAAAAATAAACATATTTACTTGACAGTTTCAGTACTTTCACACACTCTTCTTTCACACATTCTCACAGCTTATTTTCCTATTCTGAAGAGACTGGGAGAGAAAACCTCTTTCACAAATGACACATACTTAACAGTGATCTAATACACCAAGCTATCATCTTGCAAGTATTGCTCACAATATACTTGAACAATATTATTAAGTTATTACACAAACAGGAAACTCAGTCTACTCAGGTCTACAGCACAGTGGTGCTAAAACAAGATGGGCAGATGTAGTTTTTCCTGCCTGTCTAAATCACGTTTTATGGACTGTATCAGATATACAACAAGATTAATGCATTTCATAACCTGATCTTACCAGTCTTTTCCACAGTTGAATAAATGCTCTGTGATGAAGGAATCCCCTTCTTTCCAGCAGAGGGCAGCAAACATGTATAGAAACTGTGCATGGAAGACCCACACATTTACACTTCTCCTATTTAAGTGAATCTGGTGTATACTCACCTTCAAAACAATAAGAAAATGTAATGCAGGTCTGAATTGGTGGTCAGTAACAAGAAGACTCTATAAACTGAGTACAAAGTATTTTATTGTAAATGTTTGAAATACTACAGTACATTTGTGGTTATAGTTATGACAATAGGGCTAAAGAAAAAAGGTAACAAAAATAAATACATCTGCATTGACAGATATGTGATGAGTTGAGCTTTGGGAACTTCTAACGTACAAGTTCCATCTTTTTTTATTTAGATTTTTTAAATTTGACTTTTTAAATTTGAGTCAAGGTTTCTGGTATTAGGCTTGTCTTCTTACATTACTGTATTGTCATGGAATAAAATATTAAAATTCATACTGCATGATATCTCCTTCTTTGTCAAAGAGAGTTTGAAAAGTCAATTTTCATAACAATATCATTCCTACAGTGATATTTCACTAGTTTTTGTGACAGAAAAACATGTATACACAGTATCTATGGCATCTCAACCATGTGCCAATGCAGAACACAGCAGACTGGCTTTCTGGGTATCATAGACCACAGAATAAACAGCAATAGTTCAATCAAAAGCTTCATCACCTTTTCTCCACAAATTATTTTTTCATTTTCTATTTAGCCAGAACAGTGGTGGTCACATCTGAAACGTTATACCTCCAGTGCAGTTATACAGAGGCATAGTCACTCAACACAGATGATGAGAAACAAGCCTATGAAGATTGTCATGGTAATAGAGCATTTTAAAAGAATCATCACCATCCACTCATTCACATCAGGTGATGTAGAGCTCCAAGTGTGTTAGAAAATAACCAGAAGTTTTAAAAGACTTTTCAAAAGTGTAAAAATCACTTTCTAGCAATAAAAATACTGCTTGTTCCATTTACATCCCAACAATTGAGTTTCTGTCACATTTAGAAATAGTTTGAAACACTAATTACAAAAAGAACAAAAACAGTGGAACAAAGGAAAAACAATGCCAATAGTGTCTTAAGTACACAGTACACAGTGTGGCCTGGAAAAATAAGTGAGAGATAATCCCTCTGTTGTAGATTCAGAAAAAAAGTGCCAGAAAGAGTTCATAGCTGATCCTTCATATTGTTTGGTCTCTTGTCTCTTCATTTCAGCAGTGTCCTTGTCTTCCCCAATCCGTTAAAGCGTGTGTGTGTGTGTGTGTTTTGGAGAGTTCTGGCTGACTGGAATGTGCACTGATCTTTGTGTTTTAAGCCAGGGTTCTCTGTCTTGGCTTTATTCTGGGGTAGAGCTGTTAGAGAAAAACAAGAACACACGTCAATAACGGACATTTGTACATAAATGCTTCGTCTACATAAACTTAACACTCATATCATCACTACTATTTCAGTGACTCACCCCAAGGAGGTTGCGGGGAATGTAACCCTCGGTGTCACCAATGCGCGCCCACCACCATTCAATCTCGTCCTCGTCTTCTCTGCGGATGATGTTCATGCAGTCTCCCTCGCGGAATGGCAGCTCATCTGAGTTTTCTCCACCGTAGTCCCACAGACCGTAGACCACACCCCTGTTCATGATGCCCATTTTCTCTTGCACACCTGAGGGTAGACAGATTTAAAATAACACAGAAAAATGATCAGCACAAACAGATTTTAAGTGTAATGAGACACAATTAGTAACACTTGACATAGAACACATAGTATGCATAAAATATAGCAAAAAACTAAAATAATAAAATAGCTTTCACTGACCATAGAGGAACTGAGAGCACTGGGTATAGCCCTCCTCCATCTCTTCACATTTATCAGCTGCCGTTTGCATGTCGCTGTAAGTCATAGCAAACACTGCGGCACCAGACTCCACCAGGAACTTGCACACTTGCACATTGTTGCAGGATGCAGCACAGTGAAGAGGAGTCCTATGTTAGAGGGCGGGTGAAAAAGGAATAAGGAAGCAAGAAAAGAGAGGGTGATGAGACGTGCGAGAAGAAACTCTAGCTACCGCAGTGTAAGACCGTGTAAAACAACAAATAGAGGCTTGTCGGAGGCTCAGATGCAAGAATCCTATATCAAACATGGCAGCTGTGAACTTGAACTTACCAGCCGTCACTGTCGGCAGCATTGACATTGACACCAAATTGAACCAGAAACTTGACAATCTCTGTATGTCCAGCACAGACAGCATTATGTAGAGCAGTGATGCCTTCATCGTTGGGCAGACTGGGATCCTCCACCTGTGATTGAGAAATCAGGGAGACATTTTAACATCAGCAAATAGTACTTTTATACATGTTTTGCAATGGTAGCTAACTAACAAATATTTTGCAAATGTTACAAAAATAGAAAATGTTTCTTACTTCATAGATGATTCTCTGGACCAGGTCAAACTCTCCCTCCAGAGACGAGTCCAGCAGCAGAGCCAGTGGATTGAACTTCACTCTCATGCTGTGATCGATGCGTTCAGAGCCAAGTTTGCGCAAGTTGGTCCTCTTCCCCTAAAAGGCACAATCATGATTGTGTGTCACACAAATTATCTTCAGCAGCCATTACAGCACAGAGAAGAGAAATGTAAATCAAAGATGTGATCTTAAAGTCTGTCCTGCTGAGGTTTAAACGTCCACTCTGTTGTGTTCAATCTGGACTGAGAGCAGAGGACGGACTTGTTTTCCAGCTCTAAGTGCATTGCTAATCCAGTTTAACAGCACAAGCTAAAGAAACAAATTCATTTCTCTAAAACCATGATTATGCAACCAAATGGGTCTTAAATGGACGTGACAAAAGGAGGGAATCAGGGGGGAAAATGGGTCATAACAGTGATTTCTCATTGGTTTGCCCTTTTGGGGCAAACCTCCATAAAACCCACTTAAAGGGCTTCACTAAGAGCTTAACAACAAGAACATGTAAACTGGTGTTTATTTTCAACACAGTCAATGGGGGAAAGTGGGGTGGGTATCCGCTTAGTGGAAACAGAATGAGGCCTATTTTCTCCAGAAACAATAGAAGTACTTCATAGGGATTATCCAATTATATAACATCAGACCAGGCCACTGCTGTAAACCAGCAGGTCATGAAAAAGTAGAATGTGCACTGAACTGTAACTCATGACCTGCCCCTGGGGAACCAACAAACAAATATGTGAGGGGGGTTTATAAACAAACGTAACACAAAAGCAAACACAGGAATCTATACTGTAGGAAAAAACTCCACAAACTAAAAGCCACATATGAATTGTGATTCAGCAGTTTAAAATGATGATTCATACCGGTGGCAGAGGGACCTGGCCGGTGACCTCAGGCGCCTTCATGTTAAAGGTGTCCTCTCCCAAGCTGTCCTGCTCTCCTCCACTGGGGTATGGCGGTGGTGGGTAGGGGGGGAACTCTTCCAGGAAGCCTTCTGGAGGCGGTGGGGGCAGGTTGGGCATTACATCCTCCAAGCCAGCAGGGGGTGGCGGTGGGAAAAGAGCGTCGTCTGGCTTCGGGGCCGGGTGGGATGGGGGAGGAGGGGGGATAATGTGCTCGCTCTCTGGGATGGCTGAAGGTGGTTTGGTCTGTTCGGCGGGGGCTGGAACGGGGACGTTAGCACCCGGGATGTGAGACGGGAGCTGTCCTCCCTCCAGAGTCTGTCCTGTCTCCGATGGGTGGGTTTCTACACCACTTAGAGGAGTTGGAACATGTGGACCCACAGATCCCTCCGCCGCCTTCTCTGCTTCACCGGCATAGGTGGGAGTGGTTGGTGCTGTCACAGTGGTCTCCATAGCTGCCAGTGTGGTCTTCTGGTAGAGGAGTTTCTGAATGTTGGGCCCTGCAGGACCCTCTGGTTCAGTGATGGAGCTGCGTTTCTTTAAGGGCCTCGGGGCATTGTAGAGCTTCTTTCTCAGGGCTTCCAGGTCACCATCACTCTGATGCCTGTAGGGGTTGGAAATGAAGGGAAGCAGCTTGGTGGGGCTGAGGGGCCGGGGGATCCGCTCAGTTTCTGGATGGGGGCCCTCAGACGGGCTGGGACCCATGTTGTTGGCTCCATTGTGGTCTACCTCAGATTCTAGTGCAGGGGAGCGACGGTCCTGGTAAGGGTTCTCTGGATGTAGGGAGCCTCCACCGGGGATCACTGGTTTACCGTACACTACAAACAAAGATGGGAAAGCGTTTAGACTGTAATATCTAGATATAACCAACTACTGAAATGGAAGGGTCTCTCTTAATTACCTGTTTTTTTTCCCCGATTTCCCTTAAATGTATTTACAAAATAATATTCTATTTATCTTATAAAGCTAGCATGGATTACATGAAAACTCTCAGAACATACTCGGAGCTGGATTTTGTTCCATTTCGTTGCAGTCAGAAGCAGCAGGTATGGTTGCCTGTGATTGTGTTTATAAAGGGAACACGTAACAGATGGCTTAGCCTCTCTAGCCTCTGGTCAGTGGCGTGTGAATACTTTTTTGTTGAGTATGCTGAAGAGAACGGCAGCAGGGCAGATATGCTTTACAGTGAATATATCTCCCTGTGATCCCAGATACTGTCTTTTTTTTACCTCTGTTGACACCTCTAATCTTACATTTAGATTTGTCATATCAAATTTTATTTACTCAAGCATTAGTCTTCAGATTTAATTGGTGCTGCACTCAAAAGGGTCTTTACTTCAGAAGCTGATGTATAAATACGAAGATTGACATGGGTACAGATACTTGTGTGTTACGGTGGATTTATGTTTAATTCAAAGTGTGTTTATACCTCAACAACGCTGTTCTGACACAAAATGTAAAAAGTCGCAACTGGATAAGGTAGACTTACCACTGACAAATCCATTGGTGCGGCTCTGAGATCGGTTGAGAGCGCCTTGCACACCAGGCTGGAAGGGCTTCCCTGAGCCAGGCTGCTGCGTGTACATGGAGTAAATGGAGCTGGCCGCTAAGGTCTGGGGCTTAGTCATGCTGGAGTCTTTAGAGGAGGGCAGCTCCGGGGTGAATGGCCGTACCGTAGCTGCAGGTGGAGTGTCTTGCTTGGAAGGTAGGGGGAGTGTCTGGCTCTGTGAGGGTGGGAGAGGGCTGCGGCCCTGGGCAGCCTGGGGTTGCTGGTTGTGGGGCTTAGTTTTAGGGAAAGTGCCTGTGTTGAGGCCTGGTTTGCCGTAGGGCACGACACCAGGCCCTTTTGGTTTGGTGGGGACAGGAGGAGGCACCTTAACTGGAGCCTTGGAAGCAGACTGGAGAGATGAGAGAGAGATAACAAATTAGATGCCAGGGTATATTCCTGCTGGTAATAAACAAATCAGACAAGTGATTTTTTTTCCTGCAGGGATGTAAGGAGCGCGCTTTCATTCTCTCTCACCTGAGCGTCCCTGACCAGGTCATCACTGCTCTGGTTTTTGCGGAGGGATGTGGCGGGAGCCTCCGTTGGCTCAAACATGGATAATGGACGCACCTTCCTGTCCCTCTTCAGTTCCGTCTCATCTATTCACAGACCACATGCAGAGGAAGTAATTAGTTTTGTCTCATGTTCAGACACAGTGTAGTTCAGAAATAGACAGAACAAAAGCCCCTTTGAAACCTTTGGAACATTTACTGCTTTCAGAGTTACAGGAAGGGATTGCAGTGCAGTTTCTGTGAAAATAGTGCACGCACACGTGGTGTCTGCATGTATGTCTCTTACCTTGTTCTGTGTTAGAGCTGGAGTGAGAGGTCATTCGTGGCAGTGTTGAAGCTGGACCATGACCATTGGTGTTGAACTCTGGAGTTGATGAGCCCCAGTCTGCCAGTTTGGAAGGCTGAAGGCCTGGGGGGGCCGCAAGAGAGGAGGGAGAGAAGGAAGAAAAAGAGAGGCAGGGAGTGTGTTAATGTTAGCGTGTACCATATCATTTTTTAGTGTAAATTTTAGTTGCTGCTATCGTTTATCCAGATAACACAAAGTTCACAGAGCTGCGTGATATGTTATGTGTGTTAACGTCACACAGAGCAAACTATAATAGATTTTCTTTTAAAAGACAAACAATGGATTTTGTTGCATTTTCCCTTCCTCGTTTCTCATCATTTGTATTTTAGGTTGACTGACTAAGACCCAGCCAGTGGCCATGCATGTCCGTAGACAGCCACAGTCAGATGAGCCACAAAATCATGGGGCTCTAGCAACTAGCAAGATTAGCATCACATCAAAAATGGTAAAACATGATTTCCACCACAGCGCCTAAAGACTGTAGATAAATGCTGCCTCTCAAGAGGTGTTGTACAAATACACCAACAAACACACACACAGATTTTGTGAACAAGACCTGATTGGATTGGTCAGAATCTACACAGAATGTCAGTTCAACTGAAGGTTATGTGTTTGTTCCAACTGACCCATTTAGAGCGGCAGAAAAAGAACTGAGGAGAAAGCTCAACAAACACGCTTTAACAAAACAGCAGCAAAACAAGCAAACAGGACCGAAGATCCAGCTAAGAAATGATGAAAATATCTTTTCATCTTTTTCAGTGAGTATCGTTCTCACGAAAAATAAACACAACGAAACAAAGCTGTTCAGAAGCACACACGCAGCAACACAAACACAAGTGTGTACCTTTTCTCTTAGCCCGCAGCTCTTTCAGAGGCTTAAGCAAGAACATGGCTTCTGAGGAAGATGCATTCGAAAGACAAGAAAAAACAAAGTAGCCTTAGAGCTCCAGATCTCCCTTTGCTCTAGACATGCTGTTGGCTGGGCCCAGGCAGGGGCCCCCCTGAGGGGCCACACAGAGACCGACACAACCCCCAGGAGCCTGCCTGATACTATGCAGAACGTCCCTGTAAGAGAGGAACTGGGAATGGGTGTATACTAAGAGCAGATTCTCTGCATCCCCGCCCATCTCTATCTCTCTTCTTCCCATACTGCAAATCAACTCAGCATGCAGAAATAATTGCGTGCAACATCGTGACAGACTGAGAAAAGCCTGTTACTTTTACTTCCTGTGTGTGGAATTGCTTTAAACTGGAAAAACATTAGTTGATGAGGAGGTGAGAGAGGGAATGAGGGAGGGGGATTCCTTCTGCTGGTGTTTTGTAATGACTAATTTTGGCATTGGATCATTCATTTTTAATAACATGAAGCACAGTGCTGGCCCACTATCCACTGGGGGACTGATTTAGGGCTAAGATAGCGAGTCTAGAGATACAGCATGTGATGAAGAATTATTGTGTAGAGGATGGCATAAAGAACATCTTTAAATGGGATATGTTGCTCTGGCCCGTCAGTGGTTTGGCCAGACTTTGTTCCCCTCCATTACACAGCACACATGCTACTGCAGTCCGTGGGGAGAGGGTGCTGGTGCTAACAACAGCTCACTCTGTATCTTACTCCATCTCACAAACTTAACTTTAAAAGAAAAAATCTCTTTATAATTTATTTGGTCTTCATTTTGTAGTGCAAAGAATTCTGTAAAACTAACTTTTAAAATCAGGCATGCTTGTGTGCATACCTGACTTGGGTCTAAATCAAGATTTTGGATCAGTAGCTCTCATAAAAAGTCAAGACAGTCTGACTGAAATATGCAACCACACTCAGATTCCAGCTAATCTACAGTGTACTGTAAATCATCACTTACCAGTGGATTTGTTTGATTATAAGGCTCATGATGCCGAGTATGAATATGAAGACTATGTTTATATATCTTTACAGTGTGGTTACAGTCCCCCCCCCACACACACACACAAACCCCTCACTTACTGCAAAACATTAAAAAGTTTTTCTGAAAATATCAGGTGAGGGAAAACAATCATGGAGTTCAGGCTCAGCAATACTAGGTCACAACACACCATCCAGGAGGTAACTAGCTACCTTCTGAGCTCAGAGTGACATCGCAACCAGCAGGTATCCGAGACTCCTTTGCTCCTGCTGGTCATCCATGATGAAACATACACATACACAAAGATACACATGGAACCATGGTTAAGAACTCCTAGTAGTTAGGTTTAGGTTTAGGACTAGGACTCTTGACTAATGGTTGCCTTATGTATTTGTAATCTGACCATTGAAGCTTCAGTTTTGAATGCTGCTGCGGAGTGAGCTGTTGCAGACTCAGCAATCGGCAAATTTAGCTGACTAAATTGTAATGTAAAATGACAGAGGGGACAAAGTGAAGGCCTGTTGCCAAGTTGGTCCCAGCAGAGATCTGAGTCATGGTAAAAAAGGGAAGATGCTTGAGTTAAGAGGTGAAAGGCTGCAGACGGTGTGTCGCCTCTGGTTGCTCACCTGTGCCGGCCTTGCTCTGCGGGTCGTGGACTGGAAGCGTGGCAGTGCCGTCTGGGTAGGCTGGTTTTACAAGCAGGTCGTGCCTCACTGGGCCCCGGGGCATGGTGGACGACTGGATGTATGGGCCGACCGCTGCCACGCGAGACGGGCCTGACTGCTGTCCGGCTTGGCCATCAGAGGGCAGCTGTACAGTTAAAGGTGGGAGATGGGGAAAAAATGAGGAGGCTGTTAGAGCGGCAAATGTCAGATAAGAGTAATTTAAAATCTTGTTTTATAGTAGACGGAGAGAGTGATACGCTGTTAAGACACAAAAACATATATGACAATATGGTAACCAAAACTTTATTTGGCGTTTTGGTAATGATACAAAAAAAATGTTAAGACTGACGTATCACAGAAAGCATGCTGAAATTATTGTTAATAGTGAAACACTAAAACAACAAGAGAACATAAGTCTATAGCAGCTCTCTGAGGCTGTAGTGTTCATTGCATAATGAAAACCAAATTGTGTGATGGATGAACAATGACGAGATAAATATTCTTAAACCCTTGCCACAGGAGAGGCAAAAAAGCCAACTTTGGCCTGAGGGTGGCGCCAGAGCAGGTCAAGTTGTTTATTAAATCAACATGATTTAGTTTGGTTAGAGTGGAAGTGTTCAAAAGGTTCAAAGAGTTGTTAGGCAGTCTTTTCTGATCTGTGGGTGGTGCTAGCAGAATGGTGAGAACAGTGAGAAACTGAGGTGTACTGTCATTAAGTGAAAATTGCTGTGGGGCTTCATGGCAGGTCAGGGAGAGTCATTAGGATTCATTTTCTGAGGACCATGAATGTATACAAATGCAACAAACTGGCAATACACCAAAGAGTAAGTAAAGATATTTTACTCTGAACAAAATATTGGAATGACGGACAAACATCGGCATCCTCTGAGCCCTGCTTTGAACCACTCACACTGGTATTTAGTTTTATTAACATTCACTCTGTTTACTTGCTACTGAATAACTAGACTGCTTCAATAAAACTCAGATTCGAGTTACTGATTTAAAATTCCTAAATTATTCAAAACCTCTCATTTTACTAGCATGGTGCTTTTTATATAACATGTTGCAATGGGACATTATGCAGTTTTAATTTACAGTGATTTTAAAGCAGCTAGGAGAGATGCACTTTGGGCTGGTGAAGTAAAATCCACACAGACAGTACAACCTCTTAAATCCTGTACCTCAATTTGAGACTTAATTATAGAAAAGTCGAAGTTAGACGTCATTACCTCTGCCACAGATACAACATCTTACAGAAGAACTTAAATCCCTTTATGCTTTCCAAACCCAAGAAACTTCAGTTCCCCACAAATCTTTCAAAATATAGCTCAACCCCTGGACAAAAACATACCCTGCAACTGTTGACAGTATGACAAGCTGTCCATTTTTAAACAAGATTAGCATTGCCCATCGGGGGTCTGTAGCAAAAAAGAATCTGATGTGCCAAGTCATACTCAAGAGATCAGATCAGAAAGAAAAGAGACACGTGTTCAGCTCCAATACTAGTTTAGTTACCTGAAGATGAGTGTCTTTTGAAGCCCTCTCTTTACCAGGATAGCCATTCTTGAAAAAAACAAAAGCACAAACATGCAACAGCAGTTCAAAATACCAGATAATCCCTTTTTTTCCCTAATCTAGTATCAGCCTTTTCTAAGTGTTTTCTGAACTATGTGACTAAGACGGTGCGGGATGACTCTAGGCTGGCAGCTCTCAGACTACCTCTCTCCAGTCAGTATGGTTAGACGTGCTTGTGGGGTGATGTCAGCCAGACACTTGCTGTTTGGTTGGAGGAGAGAGCAGCTTGGATGGAGTGTGTCTTTGTACTGATGTGAAAAAGCCTACTCATTATGATTCCAGGCAGGGTGTGGGTAAATCACCTCCTCGCTAGGGCCTATTCAGGCCTTCATCACACACACACACACACACACACACACGCAAACACAAAAACACACCTTTCTCTGTTCTGTTCCTACTTTATTATAAATGTCAGCAGGGCATCGAAAGAGAAGTAGGGATTCTTTAAAGCTGAATTAGGGTGCAAGTTGCTCATTTATCTAAAGGTTCCAGCAGAGCATCAGAAGGATATGTTAAATCTCCATTTTAACATGTATTATTTATGTTCTTGTATAACTTATGTTAGACTTCCACTTTAGATCTTGTACTCATACTTGCATTTGCTTAGTAATCATTGCATGCTGCATACTAAGGAGGCTATTGTTTTGATATACAAGAGAGAAAAAAAAACATTCTGGCAGTTGTTAGCTGTGGCATTGAATACAAACAGCTTTGTCCTTTGCATTACAAAGTTATGGATCAGCATTAAATAATGGAAAACAATCTTTGCGGTTAATTGGTTTAATGTTAATTTGGTTGAAAGAAAGAAAGTTAATGATGAAGGCCAATGAAACACCCTAATTATGGATGAGAGGAAGTCGACCTGATCAGGAAAATATGATTAAAGAAATGACCGTGCAGAGGACAGAGTAAAATGACTTGTGTTATTTAAGAGGGCGAAAACACAAAATCATTTAATCAGAATGATTAGATTTTCTTTTTGGCCACCCTTACGTCCTTGCTCTCCCTACACAAGCATTTGACCTCAAGCAGTGAATATGTCGATTTTGCTTCCTCACAGTTTCGTAGACGAGTGTGTTGACTCTTATTTACAGTCCCATGGCAACTTGTGTTCAAAACAACTCCTGGAAACAGGAGAGAGGAGCAGGGAGACACCAGGCAGCAGAGCCAAAATGTTAACACCCATTAGAGCTTGTACAAAGACTGGATTATTCAGCCTGCTAGTTTCTAGTATGTATTAAATCATGTCGTGTATTTTATATACATATAGATATGTATATAAAAAAATGTGTTTTGAAAAGCCAATGTTTTTCCGTATGTTTGTTTGCCTTGTGTAAACGGGTTATTTGCCTCTTCCTGTTTCTGTCAAGAGTGCAGCCAGAAAAGATACCATCTCCCCTGACATTCCTGCCTGTCAGGCTGAGCTTATTACTCCTCTCTCATCTTCAGGAGTTGTTTCTGCCAGATGGGACTGAAAACACAGCTGAGTGAAGAAGTGTGAGTGTGAACTCCGATGCAACTCTGACATGAGCAAATCAATAATCAATCCCCACCAGCTATCTCAGACAGAGAGGTCAAAGAACGGAAAAAAAGATAGCAGTTGACTCCTTCGAGTGAGGGGGTCACTAGGTTTTCCCAAACAGAAGATGGCGAGGTTGAGGAGCCTTACATTGGCATGGGTGCCCTCTGAATACTGGGGCATCTGAGGCTTCCGGAGGTAGAGGGAGATACAAACAACCTTTATTATGACGCCACTAGGGGGAGCTCTGATCAAAACCAATTTCCATCATTTATTTGCATGTATGAATAACAGGGTCCTGACAAATTGTGAGAAAGTCACAAAAACAATTAAAGCTATGCAAACATCTATCCCAACATACTTACAGGCAAGTTCTCTTTCTGCTGCAGCGCTGCCTTCTTCTTCCACAGCCGATCTCGGAGCTCACTGATCCGTTTGTCCATGGAAACCACCTCCAGGTTGCGCTTGTTTAGACTCTCTCTCTGCTGTTGCAACTTAGAGTTTTGATCCTGGTTGAGCTTGTTCCTCAGCTGACCACCGAGAAGGATAAGACATAAAGACAAATAAAAAGAGATCGTTCAACATTTGTGGTAATTCAATACAAATATTGTTGTGGAGCACAATTCTGTTTTGCTGTTGTCCATTTTATTTCTGCACACCTGTAGCTCCTTGTAGAGGCGGTCTAGTTCAGCCACAGAGGTCTGGTTGTCATGGAAGTTGTCCATTTTGCCATTTTTGAGCAACTCCAGCTGTCGGTTGAGCTCCTCCACCTTGGACGCAGCCATTACTAGTTCTCTCTGCTTCTGCTGGAACAGGTTGTTCATCTGCTCTATCTCCTCCACTGGGGAGGGACGAGGCAGAGTGAGAGGTGGAGAGAGGGAATAGGTGTAGAGAAGAAGGTGAAGATGATGGAGACAAGAAGGTAATCTATTAAACCCAAATATTCCATGCTTCCAGTCATACAATATCCTGAGCAGGCCTCCATTCATGAATTCATTTAGTTTGTGAGCCTACCCAGTTTGCCATTGCTGAGGCGCTTCTGCTCCACCTGGCCCTTGAGGGCCCGGACCTTCTTGAGCCGAGTTTCCTGGTTCTCAATGTTCTCTCTGAGGCGCTGCAGCTTCTCCTGCTCAGAGGCCTGCTGCTGCTGACGCTGCTCCTGCTGCTTCAAGTAGCGCAGCCGCTGCTCCTGGAGAAACAAAAAGGGAGGAGAAAGGAGCGTGGAGCGATGGTCAAAAACACAGTAAAAGAAACACATCCCTGTTAAGTTTCATTCATGAGCAATCCATGGCTGAGTATGCCTTCCACGCATTTTATATCAACATGTCTGGTTAAATAAGGGTAAGGAAAACATTCTGTGGAACAAAACAATATTTCAAAATCAATAGTTGATGAACCACTTGAACCATGACTATATGTTGTGCTATACATGTGACAGAGTTCTGCCAAACAGGATCTAGGATGAGCACAGCACAATCTTTATCCAAAACTGTTCCAGGTGCCTCTCTCTCAGAAAATGCCTGTTTGTTTACCTGACTTACGTGCAAGTGTACACGACTGCTTAAAGTTACATTCCTTGGTTTGCTGTGTTATCCTCAGACCTACACACTAAGAGTTGCTTGAATTTAAATGCTAAAGTGGGTCAATGGCATATTTGAGCAGGGACACAAAGAGAAAGACACAAGTCAAGTTAGTTTTCAGGTGCCTCAGTGAGAATGAGGAAATATGGTCGGCCAAGAATTCAATTATATGACGCCTGTTTTGTGTCAAATGTCTTTCTTGCAATCACCCATAAATCTTGAACAAAGTGAGAAACAAGTCCTGAGCAAGAGAAAAGTGATCTTCAAATACCAAAACAGTCCTGCTCAGTGAGAATCCAAAGAAGGAAGCTCTCTCAGGCTTCTCAAATTATAAACAATACACCTGCAGCTATCCACAATTCATCTCCCCTGTCTATCACAACCACCACATGCACTCCATCTTAGAATCGATATTTCCATGAGTGCACTAGACTTGTTATAATACCATTGTTTTGTGTACCATCTCCCCACTTCCACCCAATAACCCCCTCTTTAATCTTGCTCCATTATTTTGCCTCTCCTCTTCTGGCTTTTACTTTCATCTACACCCCTTAACCTCTTCATCTTCTGTATCCACCCATCTCTCTCTACCAGTCCCCATCTCCCCTTTCATCTTCCACTTCTTCTTTATGCACCTTGGAAGCGAGGAGCTGCTGTTGAGCATCTATCTGTTGCTGTTGTCTGGCAGCCATCTCTTGCAGTTCGGCCAGCGTCATGTCCATGCGGGGTGTCGCCACCTGGGTAGGGATAAATAGACAAAGGACAAAAGAAAACACATTCAGAGAAGCAAAAGCAGCAACAGACTTTTTTTTTCAAGCCAAATACATGTAGATAAATTAGTGGAGCATCAACATCTCTTTACTTTCCTATTCAAAGGCCCAAAAGAGGGCTGAAGTAGACTTTGTTGTGATTTCTAGATTCAGGAAACATTTGTTTTCCAGGCTACATTCTCAGCTTAATAAATAAACAGAACACTATAGAAACTATAACTGCAATTCTAATTTTATTCACTTAGGTGCAGTAAAAAGCACATGTAAGGGAGAACATTTCCAGGGCTTTTGGTCTTCTCAAATAAAATAATTGAGTGTGCAATGGTATGCATAATGTGTTGTCAGTGCAAATATGTTTCAAGTAAAATATCTCATGAGGATATATCTATCTTTTACTGCCCAACAAACTCTTTTTTTCTAACAAATAAAGCATCCTGCTGAACACATTTCAAATTAAGACATAAGAACTTACCCCATTCTCCATTCTTCTATCTGGAGGACCCTTTACTCCATTCCTCTTCGGCTCGGAGCCTCTCGACCCACCTGAGAACGCAATGGAAGACATCACGATCTACTGCAGACCTTCATCAAAAGCAACTGCATCCATTTAGTCCAAACCAAGAAACAGCAAACTGAGCAAACTACTGGCCTTTACAGACAGCTGTGAAAAAATGACTGGAACTTCCTCTTGCCTTTTTGCCTGTCACTGTCTTTGACAAACAAAAAGGTACACACCTTGGTGTACAGCGTTCTCTTGACTGGCTGCAGAGCAGGGTGTAGATCAGTGGAAAGCTAGGCAAAACAGTCTGGCTAGTGCTGAATGATCTTAGCTCCTCTGGGAAACAACTGGGATCAGTGCTCTTTGTGACTTGCAGTAATCTCAGGATTTAACCTAATGCATAACCGTCTGGTGGTAGGTCCAACAACTGTGTGTGTGTGTGTGTGTGTGTGTATGTGCTTGTCTGTGTACATGAATGCACTTATATCCAATCATGTTACTGGCATTTGACAGCTGGGGTGGGGTGGGGTCAGGGTCTGGCAATTCAGATTCCACCCTCAAAGCCACGGCCCGTCGGCCCATGACCAAAGCCCTTTAGCTTGCATAATGGTTTTAGATGACCTGACATACAGTATCCATGTTAAATACATGCACTGGTTAAGTGTGAACAGAACACCATGCTAAGGCATCTAGTAAGAGATTACTTACATTTCGTCCTCTGACCCGGTGAGAAAGAACATGCCGGCCCAGCATTAAGAGGCACGAACATTTAACTAAGTCAATACTACAGGTAGGACCGAGTACAACAGTATTTCCCTAAAACAAATACCACAGAACACCACAGAACAGGAGGTAAAATGTACCCTTCCTTGATAAAAAAAATGCAGCAACAGAAAAGGGTAATACCGAACCGTGTTGCAAACACTGAGCAGAGCTGAGCTAACAGTGTGGGAAAACAAGAGCAGGCTAAGATAACAGGAAGGGAAAACAGCCGTCTAATCCCTGGGCCAGACTCAAGCTGTGAGGGGTAAAAGGGCTTAGTTACGCAACTGGGGGCTGAGAGGATAGTGCACGACCAAAATACTAGAGTTTTCTGTGTTTCTAAGAAAACTGAAAAGTAACAGGCTTATGACGATGTGACTGGGACACCCTGCATTCAGCCTGACCTCTAACAGTACGGCTAAATAAGACTTGTTCAAGGATTTGACGGCTGCTAACATAAAACCTTTTCCCGGATAAAGGCAATCTTAAGAGTGCAATTTCCAAACTGCTGCACAAACAGGCTGTTAATGTAAACTTCCCCTCATAAATGCTTAACGCCAGAGGGGACATGTATATGTTTAGAGGGTGCAGGCATCTGTGGAGTTTACTAAGTTGGTGTCAAATGTCTTTTCTCTGAGGAGAGCCATTTTCCAAAGCATGGCCCTTACGCGAGAGAAAGTGACAATAGAAACCACTGATTCTGCTTCACTGTCTGTTGTATGTGTGGTTGGGGTGTGTGCTGGGAGTTGGACACTTACCCGATTCCCTGCTAGGAGCTCGATTGTGGCGCAGAAAGAAGCGCACCTCTGCCCTGTGCTGTCCCCATCGTTGGAGCACATCCAACATCCTCTCCCCGTCACCTACAGCTCGCTCTGCAGATGGAATACATAAAAAAAGACGTCAGTGCTCAGGTGTGAGGCAAAAACACACCCACAAAGTCAATACTGAAAAAGTTTGATTGCATTGGGCTTGACGAGGTTAAAAACATGTGACAATACCAATAGAGGTCAAGTGTGCATGTGATGTTTGCTTTGCAGCTTTGTGAATCCTGTCCAACCATGTTCATTTCATCAGTGCTGAATCTGCATCTAGTCGATCTTTCTGAGCAATGACCTCAGGGAAAACAGCTCTGATGTGTTGTCAATTATTCTGGCTGGTACTGAGCCAAAGGGCTCATCATCCATTCCTCAGACATTTACTTCAAGCATTTTATTACATAAATGGACTGACACATTACAGTCAAGTAGAGGTCAATGAAACAGATTTATTACAGTGGCATGACTGCAAAACAAATCAGTAACAACTGGAACACCCATGTTATTAATAGCTTTACACCTAAATTTGATGCAAACTGCCGCTGCTGTGTTTTCACAGAGAGTCAGCCGTCAGTCTGTAGTGAGAAATGGCTGCAAAATGAGACAATCTTTTAAGCAGTTAGCAGTCTCTTTTCAGACTACTTGTGGAAGTACTCAAACACAATAATTGGCCCTTTCTTCACTCTTATGGCAGCATCACCATGGAAACAGCTACGAAGCCTGGCTCCTTGAGTTCTGATTCTGAATACCACATGACTCTCAGAGATGGGGAAAATGGGGAAAGCATGAAATCTCAACCTCCTCCCCTCCACCACCTGAGAGATGAGGGAGATGTCTGGGTACTTGTGTTTGTTGCAGGGATTATGGGCTCTGCTTCATTTGCATTGCAGACCCAAAAGAGATAAACCCTTCAAAGAGAGATCACCAAGCAGTTGACCACACAGCTAATCTCCATATATGGTCAACTTCAGAAAAGCAATTTCCCTCTAATTAAAGGAGGAAGACAAACAAGTGTCTGCACAGTGACTCCTGTCCCTTGGGCTACAGCCATATTCCAAAAAAGAAAACAGCATGTGGCTAAAACTCTCATGCTCTTCGCGCATCCGTCACTCACCAGATCCACGCCACATCTCGGACAGGTGGCAGTCCGTCTCCCCTGGCTCCTTGCACAACTCCACCACATCCCGGCACAGCGTCTCCGGGGTAACGGGAACCTCAGTAAAATGCTGGTCATTGTTACTGAGGTATACTGTCAGGAACATCTGGGGACAGCGGGGAGGGAGGGAGAGAGGCAAATTAGATAGAGAAGTTAAATAACAATGTAAGATAGAGCATCCTGGTGGCCTTGGTGGAAGCAGAGCGAACATCATAATTCTCCGTAATTGGTGTCTTATTTCCCTATGGTTCAGTGTGTGTGTCTGTGAGTTTGGAACCTGGTGTGCAAGAGAGACAAAAACAACCCTGAGTTCATAATGTTATGATTGCAAGGAGTATTTTTGCTCTTTCACAGGCTGCATCACGGATGGATATTAAAATGTACGTTGCCATTGAAGCCTCGATGAACAGTGTGAGGCCCAAGGGACGCTCGTCGGTACTTCTAGCATTGAAACAACTAGATACATTTTCAATTTAATCGTAATGTTATTAGAGAGAAAACTGCTGACTGTTTTAGAATATCTGACAGTGCACAAGCATAAGCAGTGAATGACAGACTGTTAAGTTGGGACATTCAATTACCGTTTGCTCACATACTGTACTGTATGTAAAACACTTGACTGGGTATTCAATTATTGATCCACGTAGTTGGCATAAATGAACTTTGGAAATATATAAACAAAGCTTTACAACCTCTTCTGCTCAGGTCGGACCGTAAACGGAAAATCTCCTGAACAAGAGACGATGATTGAGACATTATTACAGTGATGTTAGAAGGCACGCTTCATCATGTACTGCTGCAGCCTTTACATTAAGCATTAATTCACTCAGACATTCAGAAAGTGATACAGAAATGGTACTACGTCGGACCTAGCGTGATTGCCGTCGTGACTTTTATATGAAAGTAACCAGGGTGCTTATTCAGACATGAGACCATCATGTTAAATCAGATTAACACAAAGGGGTGCATGTCTGAAAAGGGCTACAGGCAGCAGTATCTGTTCCCCAGCCCTCATTCCTCAGTGTCAACAGAGAAATCAGAGGCCAGCTCCCAGAACTCCATTTCACCCCCGCGCCATCTAACTGCTAACTACTGCTGTCACCACTGTGAGAGATCCCTCTATCCCAACACACACACTAAATACCACTGCCAGAATCTCTGAAGGGGTAGACCGCTGAGGACTCTGGAGACGCTGGATTTGTACGTCAGTGTGTGACTGACAGATAGTAGAGACTGGTTTAGGACTAAAAAAGAAATGGACAGTCTCAATGAAGCTGTCAGAGATAGAAGTGGAATGTGAAAGCCTTCAGCGACTGCAAAAAAAAAATAAACACACTGAAATTGAGCTGTCTAACAGTAAGCATCCCAAATGTAGGCACTCCTGCCACACTTCAGACTGAAACTATGACAGCTACTGAAATGCTTACAAACAATTCTCAAATCAATACTTATAACTATATAGATAAATAATAACCTGCATTATAGGCATTGGGAGCCCAATTTAATCAAATAAAGTGAGCCTTTTTCAAACTAAAGCACTGACAGTCAATTTAGAGTGTAGAGTGGTACTCTAAAATCCAACACTGACAGAAAGTATGAAAGCGAAAAAGGTGTTTAATCATGTACAGATACATGCTAAAGAGGCTTTTAGGGCCGTGCTGGAATATGCTCCCATTTGTACTCTGATCACACGTTAGGAGTAAGAGCTTTGATAAAGCTGTAATAAAACCAATATTATAACACAGGTGTCCTGAAGCGCCACGACTTGAACTTATTTTTACCTTTCGGTTTTAGCTTTGTCTTGCCTTGACAGAGGATTGTCTTCACACTGACTTCAGTGGTGATGCAATACAAAAGCAGCAGCGCAAGAGCTAGAACATCCTGGAAAGTGTAGAATTGTTACAATAGTATTGTTGTTTGTGCCCTCAACCTGCAGGTTAGGTCAGGTTTTTCTATTCTCAGCACGCACGCGTGAGCAGCCGTGTCTACAGGGGCAACAGTGGGAACATCAGGTCAGCTGGGTCACGAGCACAAAGGGTTCGGGGGGCAACCATGCGGAGCAGCTGCAACTGTGGTGCAGGAACAAAAGTATCTGGGTTGCTTTTGAACTGAGGGGTGCGCCAAGCAAAAAAAGGACAACAGCCTCAA